GATTACCAATGCCTAAGGATTTAATGGTTCACTGATATCTATTGATTACCTGTGCCTGAGGATTTAATGGTTCACTGATATCTATTGATTACCTGTGCCTAAGGATTTAATGGTTCACTGATATCTATTGATTACCTATGCCTAAGGATTTAATGGTTCACTGATATCTATTGATTACCTATGCCTAAGGATTTAATGGTTCACTGATATCTATTGATTACCTATGCCTGAGGATTTAATGGTTCACTGATATTGATTACCTATGCCTAAGTATTTAATGGTTCACTGATATCTATTGATTACCTATGCCTAAGGATTTAATGGTTCACTGATATCTAGATAAAATCTCATGATTACTCACTGCCATACCCATCTCTGGGTTCTTGGCCAATGTCATGATGAAGTAGAAACAAAAGATCCTTTTTATCACCTGGTTCATTATTTTTGTAAATAATGCAGATTACTTTGTGTTTTTTATGTCATTCTTGAAGACATACTGGGGGTCAACTCCATGTATCCAGAGACGTATGTGATATATACGTCTCTGATGTATCTATGTGGTCCATTTTCTGACGTTAAAATATATACATCTGTGCTTGTGTGCATGATGTCATTTCATTACATCAATATGTTATGCATCTCGCAGATAATGTAGAATGTTACATCTCTCTGATATTGTAGAATGTTACATCTCTTTGATAATGTTGAAAGTTACATCACTCTGATAGAGTAGAATGTTACATCTCCTTGAAAGTGTAACATCAATGTAACATCTTTCTGATAGTCCCACTTACTCTAGATCTACCACTCCAACCGTCTGTTATTATTCTATTACCATTACCCTAACAGTTTGTGGTTGAGCTGTCTGACACTTTTATGACTTTTACAAACACCTGGTGCCCTACTTTCTGTTAGTTGTGTTTATGATAAATACTTGTTGAGTTACAAGTAACACAATTAAAATCCTCAGAACCTAAGTTCATGGTAATGCAATACGATATGTTTACTCACATAACAGGAAGGTATTGATCTTAAGTTCTCTCTTCAGCAACTGCCGTTTTAGAGAGAAAAAATTTGGTTCATAATTTTCCTTGTCTATGTGTAGCAGAGACTCCAAAGGCAAACTAGTATTGTTTTCTACACTGCTGAGTGTGTTTTCCATTTCATCACACACTAACCACCTGCTTAAAGTGACAAAATGCAAATGACAGTTCGCTGGAGACATAACTCCGCATGACATGAAGTCAGATTTGTAGGTAAAAAAACATATGTATAATATTCTTAAGTTTATTGATACCATGACACCATAAAGAAAAAGAAGAAAAAAAAACTTCAGTTGTATTTTTTTTTTTAGCATGATGATATATTCTTCAGAAGAAAATATTTGCCAGGGCAAATGTTTAACTCCAGGGAAAGTTTTGTTTTGTACATCAATTCTATAAAAAAAAAAATGGATTTAATTGAAATTTAATTGAAATTTAATGAGATTTCATAATAATATCCAATGTTTAAGGTGCTTTTTAGAAGTCTCCTGGAGATACTGTAAATACACATGTTTTAGAGGTAATGTTATTTTCGCACTTTTTGCACAGAAAATATTGCTGTGAAATATGATTGCATTGACTGCAGTTTATGTTTGTCCCAGTTTTGAACTTCTTCAAAATGTCACATTATAACATCCAATGATACTGAACATCTTTAAAATGTCACATTATAACATCCAATGATACTACTGACTATTTTGTGGGTTTTATACCGCTTTTTCCATGATCCATATTGTTTGCTTGCTGGGTATAGCCCAGTGAACAGCTAGGGTCATTTTGGGGGTGGCATCTTTTTGAAATATCTGGTGATGACCTCAATAAAAACAGATGGGAGGCTGTCACATGCTATCCAGAGCATTTCTGGTAAAGTGTCTTAAAGGCTACTGCTTCACAGACTGGTCTGTGTATCATTTTCACAATAAAACAGGAATTGCCATTGGTAGGAAGCTTTGAACCACATGCCTTTACCTAGGTTGTATATTTAGACCATTAAAGGCTCTACCAACTGTGCCATTGTGACCCCTCCCCCCCCCACTCATAATGTACACTACATAAGACTTCAATATATACCTTAACTTCCTTAATGTTGTAAATTCTACATGTTTGCTAAGAAACAGTAGACAGAATTTTTTTTTCTGTTTATTATAGAAATTAAAATTATGCATGCATTTGTGTCTTGTCTGAATGTCAAATACTGTTTCATACATTTGCCAATTAGTAACCAAACTCACCAGCTATAAATATGACGGTTCTAGAATACACATGCGAAAGCCATTATTGAACGTATGATAGCCATCCTTTCTGAAGATATAATTACATCCAGAGTGATAATGTGTATAGGTATGATGAGAACTATAAAGCGGTGTCTTATAACAGGTCGTCATGAATAACATTACCATAGATTGGTATAGCTATTACTACAGACTAATTGGAATGCCAGAACAAAGCTACAGCACCGATTCTTTATGGTGTATATCTTGTCTCTACTGTAATACGTAATATGAAAGCCCAGGAAGCCAACATATTACTTTTAATCAAAACAAGGGAATGGGCTTTAGTTGGTATAGTATTGGTGTAATTTTCTAGATCAGCAGTAATATAGGTTGGGTTAACAAAATAATTATATTTGGAAATGGTCTATTTATTCATGAACAGTTCTTATTTTTGATATAGATACCAAGTCTCATTTTCGCTTTAGATTTAACATCTGAATCAACTAAGTAGGATTTTTTATGTGTATTAGGGAGCATGTAATGGTATGAAGATGCCAATTATTTTTGTTTTGAAAAATACATAATCATTCAAATTCTCTTGATCACCTTTAAACATGTGCATGTGTAATGGAACCACCTTGATTGATTTATTATCTATCAGACACAGTTTGTAGAAAACACAGATGTACACCCTGGTAAATATCAGCTGCAATATACCACTCGGCTAGAGAGAACTTCTTATCTTGATCAGTTGAGCGTCAAGATTAGTAAGCCAGGGGTCCTGGGTTCGAATCCGAGCAGAGGCATTGAAATAAATAATGGCCTCTGTTTCATGTTTAATGAGTCCAAAACATTTAAAACAGGTTGTAAGAATATTATTTAAGTGAATAGCTTTCAGTAAAATCTATATGTGTACTGCTTCTCTGTTAATGTTGGTATTTTGTCCAATCAAGGCATTTTATATTTCTGTAAAATGGACTGCTTTAACAATATTTTAGGGTTTAAGGGGTTTTTGTTTACTTATTTACGTATGTTACATACTCAATCATGTTTTGTTTACCAATATTATATAATTCTGGCCAATTTATTCATGATATATTGGTTGCGAGTCATTGTACATTATTTAAATGTGGCATTTCAAATGTTGAATTCTGCCATGAGTCTGGTGTCTTTGATGATGGCATGTGAGGTTTGATAATGATCTGAGAGGTACATCTCACAGTTAAGCTATATGTAGATGTGTGACCCATTATTGACTTTGTAAATTTAAATTATTGTCTTTCACCTGTCCTGTTTTTCATATCTAAAAATAATGTCATAAACATGTGCCAATTCTGTCATCAAATATTAAACTAATGTAAGGGAACAATTATAATATATTCACTCAAACAACAGCTAATGCCTTACTTTGATTGAATTGAATTGTTGTTTGTAAAGCCCTCTGTCTTCTACGGAACACCCACATACCCAAGTCCAAACCCTGAAAATCGTTGGTATCAATCTGAAGGTAAACTTTATGCAGTAGAGATATGGTAAATAGCAAGAGAATAAAACCTGAGACAGGAATATTGAATATTATCAACAAATATGTGAAATATCTAATACACTATTTATTCTAATCAAGAAACTCATAACCAGGGGAATTGAAGTAATCAGTATCTGCCATACTAAACGTAATTATTCATCATCTTACTCTCAAAATCACCCTTCATACTGATTTGATTAGTAATTCACTTCTAATATGCATAATGAGTCTTCAAACTGCAGTCAAACCTTCGCTTAAGTAATGAAATCATCACATCAACAGGTATTAATATGTATTGATATGATTATAATTGTTCTGAACTATTTCCAGCTACTTTCAGTAGTTTCTGACGCCGTAGTCTGGTATTCAAGGCTCGGGAGAAGCATCGAGAAAATTAGTAGACTGGCTCTAGTCGCTAGAATATTCAAATTATAAATAAAATTAAGTCGTATAATTCTGCTCTCTTGGAAATGTCTGATGCCAGAATTTCACAGGAAGGGGAGATAACCTAGTGGAAAATATAGAAAATAATTTAGGGGCTAGTCTCAAGAATATTCAAATTATACCTAAAATTGAGAAGAAGATATGCCAAAGTTTCACAGGAAGGGGAGATAAGCTAACAAAAGGGCTGGTAGCCAGTCTAGCAGAAAAGATCAAGACCTAAGTTTAAGAAAGTGTGTTATTGATTGAATTTATATTCACAATAGTACTGTTATAGAAACTGTCATGCACAGTTACAGGAAAACATTGTAGATATGTATGTATTTGTTTGTTGGGTCTATCAACCCTGATCAGCTAAGATAAGTTTGTGGTAGGGTCTCCTTTTAGTAGCTGGTGATAGTTCATTGAACAACATACAGGAGACCCTGTCACATGCCATCCAGAGCAATACAGTTAGGTGTCTTGCTTGCAACCATGACAGGCCACATGGTGACTTTTGTCAATTTTCTACAAATATACAGAAGCGTCATATGTAGCTAGAAAATGATGGATAAAATTATAACTACATTCGAACCTCATTATCTCCAATTCAGCGGGACGATGAGAACAGTTCTATCAAGATAACCTGGTATTCGATTTGAATACTTTTTGTAAAATCATGTTGGGATAGACAAAATACTCCGAATTTAAAGTTGAACAAGATTGAGATAATGAGGTTTGACTTTGTATAATATACTTGCTTTCTTTGCATATAGAACCATTTGTTTTCTATTTCAGGGACCTGGGTTACATTTGGCGGCCAGGTCACAGATGAGGTAAGCAATCAGTTCTGTTTATAACATCAGTAAAACATTACTACAGTGATGCCCCAGGTTTGATTTAAAACCACCTCTTTATAACCTCCATCCCTCTATTTCTGAACTGTAAACAACGTTGTTTTGTGGATACACCAATACCTAAGAGTTTATTAAGTTCAGTTTCAGTAGAAAATTGATTCTGAGCTTAGACACTTAATACTTAATCTGGGGCCCAAGGCAAAACAAATGTCAATAGGTCTCTTTCAGTAGTGAATGCTGGTGGTCATGTCCCTAAATTTTGACCTGAAAAGATCAGCTACTGCCGCAATGAAAGAAAAACTCTTTTCTCACTCACAACATCAACATCTGTGTTAGTTTTCAGCAGACCCACATTTTCTGAATTCTGTGTCCTTATGTACACTTACCAGTACATGTAAATCACCGTAAAACAATTAAGGACAATCAATAAAAGAATTGAAGAAATCATGGATTTTTTGTTCGTTAATTAAAGAAAGACTTCTACACTACGAGAGCATGTGTTTTTGATTAAGACAAGGTTCCTACCTATGGTGTAACCATGACCTATATTCTATTTTCAGAGTTTTCATAATATTTTACTTAATTGCTAGAATATTCCTTGATCTTAAGTTAGCATATAACAAGCTCTTTCATTAACAATGTTCTCTACACTTTAAAATCGTAAATTTTCAGCGCTGAAATAATAGAAATTTACAAAAAATATGTATTTTCATTGGAAAGTGGCCATTTCTTGGATTTTGACAGTAAAACTTTGTTAATGATATTTGTTTAAGTACTGAGTAAGTGTTTCTAAATTAAGTACAAAAGTGAAATGGCAGATCTTGATCTGATTTAAAATTACATTTCTTGTAGAAATTTAAAGCTTGTCAAACAGTAAAGAGATGTATTTGACACAGAAACACTTGCCTTGAAATATTTCTAAAGAAAAACGTGTTGCAGTGAAAATATGTGGTTACTGATCGAGAATGGGAAAATTTATTGAAGCTGAGGAATAACAAGAGAATTTGCTTCAACAGAAGTAAATATGAAATCAAGAAACAAATTTCATTTGTCATTCATAGCCCAAGTTATCAAATAGTATATACTCTGTGTTGGGAACCTTACAAAGAATTTCTTATTGTCATCAAAATCTTCAAAAACTTCCTTTTACAGTAAAACCTCAAACAAAAACATTTGTAGTATCTGGAAAATCAATGCTAAGATTTATTTTCCCGTCAGAAGAGTTTGTGTCCACTACAGAAAAGGATCGATCATGCCAAGTCCGTGAAACCAGGCATACACGTCTGATAGAACACTGTCGGAGATCCCCGTCAACAAATCAGGCATCACACAGATTATTTCAAAACATAATAAAACACTAGACATCTTCCATGAATTACTAATAGTTGGGGGGTACTGAAACAAATTATCTGTCAGTGAATTGATCGCAACAGGACCGAGAAATATCGAAACAAAGTCAGTCAATATCTGTCTTCAGGACTGAAATAAAAACCAGCAAAGAAAGGCAGTGTCATCAATATCTCTGTGCACCATACTATTAAATGTGGTGACTTATGTAACAATGTTTCACACATCTATAACAGAACGATTCACTATAACAAATCTGGATCTCAGCCATTTGTAACAACCCCTGATCTTCGATGAAATTCTAGGTTAATTTATCAGTATTCCAGGTATGTAACATTGCTGTCAGTTTGGGGAGACCGCTAAAAGAAGATGGCACTGTAACTAGTCGAAGAATTTCTCTGAAAACACAAATTGTTCTGGCTCTGTGATAAAAGGTCTCTGCTTGCATTTAGGTTTCTAAGTTGTATAAATTCTGACCATTCTTCTGTAATTAGGACACACTCTACAAATATCTTTTTCTGTCCCTGCATAAAGGGATTTTTCTGTTGTGTTATCTGTGATATCTGTCAGGGCACACTTCAGAACATCTGATCATTCTCCAATTAAAAGGTTTTTAGCTACTGATACTGGCATAATTTTTATTGCCCATTATGATTTATAAGATGTATCATTGAGTTCCAACTTCATTAATTTCAGTCTCTTTAGCAATAAGCACAAGTTTGTGAAGGAAATTTTTGACCCAGTTAACCTTTGACCCAGCCAACGTTTGACCTAGCCAACCTTTGACCCTGTCAACCTTCGACCTTCACCAATTAGATCCATGTTTACCCAGAATTAATTTCACTCTTCTCATGTTATTTAAGGAGGATTTTTAAAATAAATTGCCTTTACTACAGCAAGCTAGAATGAAATTTGAAATGGAGATTCAAGTTACCTAGATAAAAAATTTCAAAGTGTATGAAAGAGTTCGGAGACTTCCACAGCACTATGAGTAAAGCTAAACATATTTGCAGGCTAAATGATATGATACCAGACAAGTCATGATTCAGATATGCTGAATTTCACCTGTCTTTATCATTCACAGAAAATGACCTTGTGTCCCTAAGTATTCAATTAATGATACAGTAGTACCTTTATTTCTGGAGTGTGTATGAACACTCTGAGTTAATGATCTGGACCAGGATTTTTTCCATTCAGATAAGCATAAACAAAACTTTTCTAGACCTGTGTTAAATAGATCTCCAAGTTGATCTTTCCTTTTGATTTATGCCTGAATTGTTTATTTCGAATGATGGTAAATAGTTACTTGCTTCAGGTATTTGATGACATCATTTCAGCAGTAAGGTAAATATATTGATACTTGAAATTCCCCAACTACATATAAATTGCACAGACCAGAAATTCCTAGGGCTAACAAAATCACAAATTCATGTGACTGCTTCTCGGAATGACTGCAATTCAAGGAAGACTTTGGCTTTGGATTTGATTTGAAAGTTAGTTATTACTTTGTTGATTTAAACGAAAGCTGCCTTCTACTGATTCTTTTCCACAACTGGGTCCTGATTTTATAGCGTGACTTTGTTACAGGTTGCTGAAGAAATCCTAACACTTGCCTATGAGAGTGGAATCAATTACTTTGACACTGCTGAAGTATATGCTGCTGGAAAGTAAGTAAAACACTGTATGAGGCATTCATAGTCCTGTAAATGTCTTTCTTGTGAGATGGTTACAACAACTTGTTCAGTTTTATTAAAGATAAAAATTCTTTTCCTTTCCTCTTTTGTTCCATTTTCAATTCACAAATAACCTTGAAAAATATTTTAGAAAATGAAATTTAATTAAAATTATACTAAGTTGAATATTTATTTATTTTTCGCAAATACCTGCACCTGGTTTTGAACAAGAGTTCGTCCAATCTGCCTTTTGATTTTTGTTGCTGTTTTGCCATCCAACAGCAGTGTTTGTTTCAGTGTTGTGTTTCTGTCCTTATATCTGTCATAGGTTGAATGGTTGTGTTGTTTCTGTTGCATCTGTGTCTTATTTCATCTTTATTTCAACATCTCTTATACGGAAATGCTTTATATATCAAGGATTATCTCATTTTCATAAGAAATGGGGTGTGTTGGTCGTTTAATCATCTACATTTGTAAAAGAATTTAAATTGCCTGTAACCTTGATAGATTAAATGTGCGAAAGAACCTAAATAAATCTCTCTCAGGCAGGTCATCCAAAAGTCTGTGGAAATAAGAATGATTTGCATTTTAATTCTATACAGTGGTTTACAAATAAAGACATTTAGATTGTCAGATCAATTTTTAAATTGCTTCTATTGTTTCCTAACATTAATTAATTCTTTATCATGATATTGATAATATGATCTATTTCATGTATTAATATATAGATTAATTAGCCCCCTACCTTTGAAACTTGGACAGGTAGGGGGGTTACTCTAGTTTTCCTCTCCAGATGTCTGTCCCTGCATCTGTGCACATTTGGTTTTGCTCTAGAGGTTTCATTCCTTTGGAATTCTCATCAAAATTCACGCACTTTTTATGAACATCAAGATGTCTTGGACAAGTTTGAGTTTCAGAGGTGTTGTGTCAAGGTCAATTTCACTATTTTTGGAAAAATAATTGTCAGCGTTCTTTCAGCTTCATTTCACAATGAATTTTCATCAAACTTTACACCCTTGCAAAGCACCAACGGTCACTGTTACTAAATTTATAAATCATTACAGTTTGACAGTTTTAGTGGTCGGGAGATGACATGTAATGCATCAGCAATGCTCAGTATGCTTGTTTGTCCTGTGTTTCTCACACTTATTGATCTTGATCGATTGATATGATTGATTTAAATGATTGATTGAAATGCAATATGTATCAGTGTCAACAGCTCAACAGATTTTGTCTTGCCAGCCTAATATTGGTTGAACAACAACCTACTAAAGTTTCGAAAATTCGAGATGCACATTTCGAAAACTCAATTTTTGGATGTAATATACTTTAATTAAGATTCAAACATAACAAAGAACATTATTTAATCACATAAAAATTAGACAACAATACAATTAATTGATTAAAAAGTAATTTTTCCTCGACAATACATTAAAATGTCCCATTGATCACAATGGATTTTGAATGTCTTCATACAATTTTCAGCAAAGAAGAAAGAATTTTTTTATATACATAACTTACAAATATGAAATGATCGGCAAAGCAGGGTGAAATTGATGACTTTTACATAATATATAGATCAACAATGTTTCTGGTAGATGTACAGTCTGTGTGTGTGCACAATTGGGACAACCCGTTGTACATGTCAAAACAATGGACCCTTAACAAGTTCCATTTTGTTTATATTGTGACTATAACAGGTTATTAAAGGAAACAACCATCTTATTGTTAATTAATTACCCAAATGAAAGCTAAACTGTACCGCATGCAATTCTTCATTCCATTTTGCTGTCATCTCTCTGGAGGGCTTCATTTGGACAGAGACATTTCTAGTTATCACTTTTCTCACCACTTCATGTATACATGACATATAACAATCAGTTTGGTTTGGTCTTTCACTTTAATTGTTACTGAGCATATTTCATGAAATATAACAAGAGTTAGTTATTTTCTTTAAGATTTGTAATAAGTTTTATCCAAAGTGTTGTTAACAAGTGTGTATATATGGAATGTTGCAACACAATAATGTACATTATTTAACAATCATTCATGATATATTTTATGATATTTGCTGTCACAAAATTTCACACCATGAAAATATGTAGTTAAAAGTAACAAAACATTATCCAGACGATGAATCATCTCATGACTAGGTCATTCATGTAACAGCATTTAGCTGTGTCCAATTGTTGTTTCTCTTTCCAAATGAATGAGAATAGAATTTAAAAAACCGCCTGATTTTTCGGTGTCATACATCATCTGTAAACAGCAACTATGTACAAAGTTAGGTTTCACCTTAAAACAATTTTGAACATTTGTAATTGCATACAGGCATGACCTTTACAGTATATTATGTAAATAAAGTATCACCGTTGCTGAAGTAAGAATTTGATGATACGCATCATGTGACCTTGTTTTACATTTAAAATATGCATATTCATAAGACTAAGCAAAAGGGGACAGGACCAGCTTTTACTGTCGTCTGTGTGCGAAGAAAGACTTGATACTGTGGACTACATAAGATATTGCATTATTTTAGATTGAAATATCAAATAATGAAAATTGTGGCAAAAACCATTGAAGTCAATTTTGTCTTTGATTACAAACTCTTCATAATGGAGGTATATGCTATAATTAAATGTAGCACCACTCCCTAAGTGAAATTTCTGCTCATATTGTGCATCATGAATACGTAAAATGTGTGACTTTACAACAAGCGTTGGACAGATTGGATTATACTGCTAAATTCTTGAATACTTTGATCTGAAGAATATTTCTTGTAAAAGATGACTGGAAAGTGGATGTTGAGCTATATTGGTGTTATACTGTAGAATGTATTGTACATGTTTTTCCTTGCTATGTGGATTCCATTAACTGTACCCAAATTTATGTCTATAAATACGTGTATGTACTGATATGTTCCAGCTGCCGATGTTAATATTGCTCTTTCATGTTTGCCGAAACTTCAATGTTTTCTTTGATAAAAACAATTGAGAGTAGCAGCTGTAATGTTTGTAGTATCCTTTTTTTTATCGTTATTTTTTTAATTACATGATATTACTACATGAACCATGTTGTAATGCCTTTCATTGTGGTCTAAGGTCTTGTGTTCTGTACTTTTCTTAGCACTCTCTGGAATTAACCAGTAAACAAATGTACCTAATGTCATATACAGCCATGTTTACATATTAGTTTTAGTAAAAAATGTATCAATTGGCCTTTAGCTGAATTAATATGTTTGCATTCAGTTTAAAAATGAAATGCTTTATTTTAATTAAGCATTTTATAAGTTGGCAAATTAAACGGAACTTGCACAATTACAGTAAAAAATGGAAATGTTTTTCAGTGTTACATTGAAAAGCATTCATATTCTTAGCCATGCTACAAAGTCCATTATTTGTCTTACATCTGTGTTTTTGTATACCATATTGCATAAATTAAAGCTTGGTGTGTCTTGTGTTGACACCTTGGAATTAAGGCATATGTCCTATGGTTGTGATTCTGCAGTCTTATATGTCTCATCTCTTTCGTAGTATTGTCGAAAATCGGTTCAATTACACTGATTAATTATTCTTTGTACCATTGCTAATAGAGGAGGAATTCTTTAATTTGAAAGTTATCTCCCTTTGAATCAATCTTTAAATTTGTGGTTAAAGAGTTGACGAAGAAATTACTCTAAATCTGAAAAAACTAATATAAAACAAAATTCCAATCACATCAAAATCAGATATCTTAGTTGCAAACAAATGTTATTAGTTAAATTTGTCGTGAAATATTTGATTTGAGACATCTGAAATTGGCATCAACTCTACCTATTTTAGTTGATCATTAACTGATCAGCTGTTTTAGAGATTTTTCTAATCGATTTCCAACCGATTGCCAACATTACTATATTTTTGTTGTGTGCAACCTCTTCATGTGTAGGTCTTCTTTCTTATTTACAGTCATAAGAAGGATAATCCCGATCTACCTATATCTGCATACCAACAGATGCAGGTAGCCTGCGAGGGGTAAGGGCATTGGAATGCACACGCGACATGCACGGAATATGCCTTCTTTTTTTTTCTCGTTCAGATTCATTCTTTCATTCATTTATTCAATGTTTGTTCATCCCTTCATTCAATTGTTTGTTTATTCATTTGTTTATATATGTATTTTTTTGCATTGAATCATTTGGCATTTATCTCTTTCTTCACCATTCCTGTTTTTCTGTTGAGGTGTGTATTGGTGGTAATTTTAAGAGTGGCTGGTCTTTTTTGTGCCCAATTCTAAGTCTCACTTATCACACAATTTTTCTCTGTCTTTGTGATATCGTGCGATTGTATCACCTCTGATTATCATGTGTCATATCATCACAAATTAGTTTTTCCCAAACAATTGTCCTTTTATAGGAAATTTGAGAAAAGTACATAATTGGATAAATTCATGTTTATATTGTATTTCATCTGTTAGGTTTCATGAGGATACCTAACAGTTCAATTTATCTCTCCTATAGTAAACAAATCAAACCAGAAGAACAGTAGCATTTCAGAAAGCCAGGTTTCTAAGCTGTATTGTATATGTATCTTCCAATAAGGCCAAGGGGTCACCAAATCATTACTGTAATTTGGGGAGGGCTTATTACAGGACATTGAAATAGTATTTGTTTAAAATTTGGCTGAATAGTAGTACATAGGATTTGGCTTATCAGGCCAGGTAACTGATCATACTATCACCTGCAACTTGCTGCTGGTAAAAATAAGTAATTTGTAAAAGCTTTGCCCTGAGGTAGGCCAGGTGTAGAAAACATTAGAATACATTCTGGAGAATTGGCTTCTGGTATTGCTTCTGTTTAAAAATAAAATGTCCTTTAATGGATTGAACTTCTTCCGTTTTAATATACGAATCATTTGCCACAATCTTATACCTGGTTATTACATTCATATGAAATTGACATATCATTCCATGTTATATACAGGCTGGTGCTTACTTGCTCTGTTTTGTGAAAACATATTCCTCATGAATTCAGATATTATCAAAATACTCAATTTTTTAATCATTTTTGAAATTGTCATTTAGCAAATCAATTCAGTAATGTTGTGTTATTTTTCTATTTGACCAAATTGGTTACTCAGATTCTTTTTTTACTGAAATTTCATTCAAATTCATCATAATGTTGTGGAGTTTTATTAATTTATTGAAAAAATATTGTGACTTCATTTGCCGTTACCTTTTGAACAAAGGGGTATTCAAATGTGGAAGTTCAATACAGCTAGAAGTATTGAGAAATAAAACGAAGCCAAAGATATATTGAACTGACTGCATATATTCTTTAAAATTATAATTGACCTTGATGACTACATATTTAATCCATTAATATTCATTTGATAGAACAAAGACCCTGAAAGGCAACTATATTATGAAGGTTAAGAAATCTTCTTCTTTAGAACCATTGATATGACCCAGTGATTTCTACTTTAGCATGTCTTAGTAATAGATTATAATAGAATTTTGTGGTGGAGGATCAGATTGATAACGTAATGTTTGATTATTCTTCATAGCTGCTCTAAAATGTTGTTTATATTTCAAGCTTGCTCAGTTAGTGATCTAGATTTTGAGCATTGAGGCTGCCAAAGCTTTCACGTTGATTGAATGAAAGTTAAAATAACCAATGTTAACAATATCAAAAAGTATATGATAAACTGTCATTATGTGTTTCAATAGAAATATTTCATACCAGACATTAACCTCCCAATACAGATGATAGAATTAACCAATGAAAGCATTGCTCTGCATTATTAATGAATTACTCAATAAGTATGACAGATTTATTAACAGAATTTTGTACTGATGTACTCTGCCCTGTGTTAAACCAGGATGATTTTATCATGGCTAAATAATTAATATCAGTATACATTTGTGTATAAGTAATTGCTCATTGAATACAAATATTTTATGAGGAAAATGAAAATTCAATGGAGCCAAAATTTACCAGAATATAGTGAAAAACTTGTTGTCAAGATGAAATTTTCAAGTGACAGTCATGTATTTTAGTGATGTGGCTGACAGGACGATGAATGCACAATCATCGAAATAAAGAATATCTAAGTTTGCATGGGAAGTAACTCTAAGCAAATGATGACTTCAAAATCGTAAATGAAATTTGAAAAGTAGAAATTCTACTTCCAGTTATATCTGACTGTGAATGAAATTTCCACAAAGAACAGGTGTATTTCAGTTCATTCTCATTTGAGTAAATGAAGTCTGGAACTTCATCGAATAAATTCAATTTATATTTATCTCAAAGTCCTCGTAAAATAAACAATCAAAATAATAATGAAAGGAGCATTGGATTTATTTTCTGTTTACTGAAATTTTATTCTATTATTATTATCTTTAAAATCTATTGAATTTATATCATAAATTAAGGTGTGATCCAAGAAGAAAACAATATTAGGGTGTCCATTTAAAACAGACAATAATTGAAAAGTGTTTATGCACATTGTATATAAGGCTTTTTTTCTCTTTCACTTTTTTGCATCAAATTGTTCATCACTCGATCCAGTCTGAAGTGATCACGAGAATGCTGTCATGTTTTTTGCTAATTCTGCTCTCACCAATTAGCTTACAGGAAAACAATTGTTCAGATGATTAATAAACTGACCTCAAATTACTGGCTCTAGCTTATTTGAAGAGGTTAGATACAAGTACATACAATATATGAGAATCTCTGAATGGTTTCATGTGATAGATTTTAAGCTAGGTCTCTAATGTCTATTACATTAATGTTATTATCAAGTCATGTTTATAGTGAAACAATGTATTGACTGTGGCCAACTTAATATAGATCACTGTGACTCATGTGAAACAATGTATTGACTGTGACCAACTTAAAATAGGTCACTGTGATTCTTGTGAAACAATGTATTGACTGTAATCAACTAATTAAAGTTCACTGTGACTCAGAATGTTTGAATGCAAGGTTATTAAGGTTTTGTATTAACCTATACTAGTCAGATTTTGAGAGGCCCAAATCACTCAGTCAGTAGGACGTTGACCTTTAACAGGTAAGGGGTTGCATTGGTTAAGATGTCTGAACATCTTTTTCACTTACCCTCCACCTGTGGGTTGTGGGTTCCAGACCTACGTTACCTGAGGAGGTGGCATTGGTCATGTGATTAAGGTGTCTGATCTTTTTCACTTACCCTCCACCTATGGGTTGTGGGTTCCAGACCTACGTTACCCGAGGAGGTGGCATTGGTCATGTGATTAAGGTGTCTGATCTTTTTCACTTACCCTCCACCTATGGGTTGTGGGTTCCAGACCTACGTTACCGGAGGAGGTGGCATTGGTCATGTGATTAAGGTGTCTGATCTTTTTCACTTACCCTCCACCTATGGGTTGTGGGTTCCAGACCTACGTTACCTGAGGAGGTGGCATTGGTCATGTGATTAAGGTGTCTGATCTTTTTCACTTACCCTCCACCTATGGGTTGTGGGTTCCAGACCTACGTTACCTGAGGAGGTGGCATTGGTCATGTGATTAAGGTGTCTGATCTTTTTCACTTACCCTCCACCTATGGGTTGTGGGTTCCAGACCTACGTTACCTGAGGAGGTGGCATTGGTCATGTGATTAAGGTGTCTGATCTTTTTCACTTACCCTCCACCTCTGGCTTGTGGGTTCCAGACATTCGTTTGGGAGTCACAAGGTACTGGCAGTAGGTTGGTGGTTTTTCTCTAGGAACTCTGGTTTTCTTTAATCACCCAAATTCAGCAGTTCCCTAATTGACCGTGGCTGTTAATAGGACATCAAGCAAAAATAAACTAAAATAACCTTAACCCTAACCTCAGGTACAGATCTCGAGGAGTTGGTTTCACGATATCTAGAATCATAGTGGTTCTTGTTTTTCAGACGATAAGAAACTCACTATTTTGTGGTTGTGTCTTCGGGCAAAATCATGTTTTTCCAAATTGCTCTGATTAGCATGCAATATATCTCCCATATGTTGTTCATGGAGGTAACGACCAGCTACTGCCTTGTCTCAAAATGAGATTGTTAGTTTAATTAAAACTCTTAACTAACAAAGCAGACTTTCACAATTTCAATAAAATGGGAGAAAAAGATATTTATTTTGTATGTCCTTGTATTAGTTGCTCTACAAACTGTAGAGCTGATTTATCTCTCCTGTCTAAAACAATAAATGTCTATGATGTACGCTGATTACTATATATGAAATTACGTCCAGTTTGTTGACTCCTTCGAGTCTGGTGTTTGACCTTTTGCTTGGAAGTCGATAATTTCAGTATCTATACTTGGAGGCCTGTTGCTCCAGAGATAAAAATAAACATCGGCATCATGATAAGTCAATTGTTTATAAAGACAGACTATTGAGTTTTCTTTATTTTCAATGCATTACAAATTGCTCTGAAATGTTTTAAGAGCTTTTAAACGTTAAACTAATGACTAGGATGATGTAATCCACAGTATTGATTGTAGTATTGTGGGATTTCAAAAGCAGGCCTGCAGTTACAGACATTGTATATTGACTGAGTGTGTTCTGCAGTAGAGATACTTGTAGTAAGTGTATTTAGTTTTACCAGTATCTAATAGACAAAAATACCTCCTTCTGTTTTAATATGTCTCGTCTCAGTATGATAGATCAAGATTGTAATTACATTCTGGCTTTTAGGAGATTTAACATCTTTTCATACGTAATGCACTTGAGTTTACATGGTTGGTTTTCAGAAACTGTTGATTATGTCTGTGTGTACGTAATACTGTGACTTAATTACATATGATAAAAGTGATTCAAAGGTTTCGGGTTGGATTAGTTCAGAACATGATATTGTAAGCAAAAGATAATAATTCCATGCCCAGAATACATACAATATCTAAGCATTGTTTTTGAGTTGCCAAAAAAAAGAAAGAAAATTAATGATAATGGTAAAGAATTTCATGGCTCAGACTCAAAATTCCTGCAGATTCCTTCAATTGTCCATGTTAAGGCGGCTCTACCATTTCACAATTAAC